TTGTGATGAAGAAAGACACGCATTCATTCAACGAATATTTTTTGAAATCTAAAAAAGAAAATCCAGCTGGAGGTTTGGAGACTGGTCTGTAGGCTGAGGATGCACCTCTGAAGAAACTGGGCTCTCAGGCCTCCAGGTGGGAGGGGAGCACATGAAATGAGAAATAAAGCATCAGCTCTCTGGCAAAAGGTCCTCCAGCCAGGGCAAATGAGAGAGCTGAGCGTGGTTAAAGAACAGGAATGAGGTGAGGGCCTACTGCACAATGTACATGGCTTCTCTCACGAGATCAGCAAAATCTTTATCATGTCCCCAGGCCTGGGCCTGTACTCGTACTCAGCACCCTCGAACCGTTTCAACATTTCCAAGCCACTGGCAGAGTCAGTTAAGGCCAGGCCAATGTAGCTACATCAAAAGGGAACGCAGTTACCTAGCTAATTGAGGACAAGGAAATAACTAATCTAAATAATTGGACCCAAAAGGATTACATTAACTCCCTAGGTACACTGATCAAGTAAGACAAAAAACTGTTAAGTTCCTCCTCTGACTATTATTTTATAAATAGCAGAAGAACCATTTTAGAAATATTCTGACAACCAACTGCCCCAAAATTACGGCCAGACGGTTGCCAGTTACGTATCTCTGGCAGAAACTACAACTGACTGATTATCAAGAACCAAACACTTCTAAAATAACTCTCCTGCAGGAAAATAATTAGTCTGCATGGAAACAGGCTGCTGGAGATAGTTGGAAACATCGGAACTATTAAGGGACTTTCTGGTTTACATAAAAAGGGATTTTCTGGTTTATACTACTCATTCACCAGTCTGGATCTATCAAAGAAACTGTACTTCTTTAGGTAGAAATGCAGTTGTTCATCTCTCTGCCTTACTATGGGGCAAAATTCAAGAAAAAACAGGAGGACAGTACCTGGTGGGGTGGTACACCACACTGCAGGACAGCTGTGCCTGACAGTAAATGTGACACTTCTGGACACTAATCTAATCCAGATGGCTCTCCCCAGACTATGGTCTAGGGTCTAGACTTATACAGGAAAAACGTCCCAAATCCTCACAAAATGAAAGCTCTCCTACTATAGCTCTAGGCTGCAAAAGATCAAATTCCTACCTTTAGTTAGTGATCGTAGCAAAACATGAAAATGCCAGCTCCAAATAAAGGCTTCACACCATCCCATCTGGCAGCAGCTCCACTCCTCCAGGAAGCCCTTTCACATTAAACTGCCATCTACCACTTCCCAGGCACGTGGTGTCCGAGGTATGCTCTACTCCACCCGGCCTGGCACTTGCTCCTGCCTGCTTCATCTTCCCCGCTAGACCATCAGCTTCCAACAAGAGGAGATCTGATTCCACGCTACCATCACACACGGTGGCTGCCCTCACCCTTCCTGAAAGTCCCCACAGAAGGCCCTGTGTACGGGCGTGGACACGCGTAGGCCGCAGGCAGAAGCCCAGGAGGGCTCAGTCTGCCCAGATTTATTACAGGGCTGATCCATTTCCCTTTCCTTACTGCCACTGGAGCATTCTACTGCACTGCTGCGGTGTCCCCGTCCAATTTACTGAGGAACAGACTGCAAAGTCTGCCACTGCACCAAGCTGTCCAGCCTGAGGCCGAGAACAGCCACTGTCTAGGAGCTTGGGGAAAGGGTCAACAACTGTCTGATTACCTGAATTACTTACGGAATAAAATGGAGCTCGGGGTGGTGACGTCAGGTTTGGAGACATTATCACAGTGTATTAGGTGTGAAATCAGATTTGCTGTTTTCGTGCAGAAAAATATCCAAGGAAAGCCACTCCCCCTTGAGCAGGTTAATAATTTTTACTCCAATGTGGAGTTACAGTTACAGAGTGCTCGGCAGCATCTTTTGATTCGCAGTTTCACATATGCCCTACAGAACAGGGAAGGCTTGGTGATCCACCTTTGTAGATGAAAGAACCAAAGCTCAGAGAAGCAAAAGGAAACAGACGCCCACAGAGACAATGGCACAGCCCCACTTGCCTGGCTCTCTCCACTGCCCGCTCTGTACTTGTTGATTTTAAAGTTTGGAGACTGCAGTGCCGGACTCCTGGGACATTTCAGAAGCTGTGCTTCCTGAGCACCCACAGGACAGGAGAGGGACAACGTCTTTTGGTATTGCGGCCCCAGTGCAGTGCCAGCCTGCAGCATGGTTCACAGAGCATCTGGGGCTAATGTCAGAGTTCACAGGGGAAAGAGGGTCGGGGCCCTTGTACTGCATCCTTGCTTTACCCTTCTGTCCCTTCTCCGTGCATTTCCTTCTGAAAAGAAATTCCTATCACCAGTGGACAAAAACCAGCAATGACCAGACGCCAAAGCCAACCGGAAGCAGAAGCAGAGAGATGCTGGGGAACAGCTCCCCAATGACAGGGCACGTTTCATGGTCTGCACCTCGCTCTTCTCTAAACATAAAGTCGCTCCTAGCACAGAGCAGAACACACGCTTTCACCTGCACCATCCTTCATACACAAAACCAAAGAAAAGCCACGCGATACATGATAACACACACTTTGAGGTTTTTTTAACATAGCTATACCTCCTTTTACGGAATAATGGATGTGCTCCTAAAAAAATCAATGAAATATTCATACAGAGAATCGTCTTCCCAAGAAATACGATTCTTATGTTAACACTTCAGAGGTAGCTTATTATATTTCATCATCATCCTGATTTTCATCTAGTAATGAAACTTCTCCCCACCCCCAATCCCGACACGCACTTCATTAACAAAAATGTAAATGCACTAACCTAGCTCCACTTTTAAAGGAATCTGCCGTGAATCTTTTCTACAGTCTTTTAAAATGTGGATAACTGCTCTTCGCTTTATTTTTTTAACAGCACTGGCTTCATGGGGCCTCACCACCTCGGCGTGCTGGTGTGCCCCTGACATGCCTGAGGCCTCCATGTACAGCTGGCTGGCCACTCTCGAACCCGAATCCAAGTCCCGTCCTTGTCCTCATTAGCACAGGCCCAAACTACCCTGCCTCTGGCTGTTACCTGAATCTAAATGACCCGTTCCCCCTCCTGTCTCCACCTGTCCCAAGAGCAGATTCGATCCCTGATGGAAAAGGGTGCCTGTCACAGATAAACTTTACAAGGAACCTGGGCCCATTCCCACCTCCAGGACTAGAATCCCACCCCTTTCAGCCTCTTTTCTCCAAACAGAAGATCCCAAGGGCAGGCCATTGACAGCCAGAAAGGAAACACAAACTTGGCCAGTGAATGAAACACATTTCCATACCACTCCTATTGGCGTGAGCGTCAAAATAAACTAAAGTAAGCCAGGCTCTGGTCTGGGTTAGGGAAGTGACAGCCCCAAGGTCACAGGCACAGCGTGCCGTCCTAGGAAAACGCCGGGTCCGGAGCTGCGGGCTTTGCTGGCTGGGGTGGGAGGTGGCCCCTGACGCTTATCTGGAAGGACAGGGTCACAGGTCTACAGGTCCAACTCCAGACGGACAGAAGACCGCAGGCCGCGACACGGCTGGGTCGAAGGCAAGGTGTGGGTCTCAGCTACATCCCGACACGCGCCTGGCTGGCCGGGACTCGTCTCCTGCCGCTCAACGCAATGCAGCGGCCAGGGCGAAGTTTCCACGAAATACGGACGATAGCGCTGCGGGCGGTGCAGCCCGGCCGCTCACGTCTTTGCACCCAGACGGCTCTGGGGCACCCGGTCCCCGGCTCTCTCCGCCCCGCCGCACCCCGGGAAGTCTGGATTGCTCGGCGCCACTCCTGCGGCGCAGCGCCCCGGGCCCGAGCACCCAGGGCGAGGCCTGGAGGGACCAGAGGGGCCGGAGGAGCCGGGACTCGCGCCAGGGGAGGCGCAGCGCCTCGCGGTCCCTCACGGGCTCGCCGGCCAGGTGTGGCCGCCCCCGCGCGCATCGGCGATCCGCAGCCCCTCCGGCTTGGGACGCCCCACCCCGCGGCCCCGCTCACCTCGGCCCGCGCCTGCAGCCGTGGAGTTCCCGCAGCCCATCCCGCCGGCCCCGCGCTCCGAGCTCGCGTCTCGGTCCCGGAGCGGAGCCCGAGCCGGGCGGGGGCGGGAGACGCGGGGGCGGGGCCGGGCGGGGACGCGGGAGCCGCCTCTGCCGCCGCCGGCCGCTCGGAGCGGGGAAGCCAGGACGCCCGCGCCGGACCCGCCCGTCGCCTTGGCAACCGCGGCGCCGGCCAATCCGCAGCCGCCTGCGCGCTCCTCGGCCACACATTGGTAGCTAGGAAGGGGCGGGAGTTTGAAGAGGGCTCTAGGCCGAGGCGGGGCGGGGCCGGCGGCGCGGTCGCCCACCTGCCGGGTCAGGCAGGTTGCCCGACTTCCCTTCCGAGCCCCGGATGCTGGCGCGGCTGTACTGAGCCGCGTGGACTCCCGAAAAGCCAGAATCGCCTCCTGCTCTAAAGGAAAGCTAAGGCAGTTTCCCCCAAACATCGCCGGGGGGGGGGGGAGAAAAAGACCCAAGTGCTTCCCCAGCTTGGTCCCAACGTTGGCGGATTTAGAACAAATGCGCAAACCAAGATGCATCATGTAAAGGTGCAAGTTCCCAATGAGAAATGTAAATGTGTTGTATACCTAAAATGTACCATTAAAAGAATTTTTAAAAAATAAAATAATAAAATAATTGCGCAGAGTCTGTTCCCTGGATTAGGCCCTGCGCTCTGATTGAGATACAGGGCTGTGAATGGACAGGGCGTAACAACTGGGCAAATGTCACTGAAGTCAGACAGGGTTCCAACCCACCCCCACCCCAGGACCTGCAAAATGGCAAGGGCTGAGGTTTGTACAAACCTCCAACGCAGGCCTGGTGGTCAGCCCGCGCCGGCTGTGGTCATTACCATGCTCAAATCGATGAGGAGCGAACGCGAATTTCTTGGGGGGAGACTCTGATGTTTTAGTGACCTCCTAGCTCGCAATAGAGATTCAATAAGGCGAATTCAAGCCAGGAATTAAAGCTCCATTTTAGACCCATTAATACTTACAGAGAGCTCATCGTGTGCCAAGTCCTTTGTTAAGTTCCAGGATAGGAATGTGTGGGAGACAGCCCTGTCTGGCAGGCGATTATAAACAAATTAGCTTCAACCTAGCAAGGGTGCCAGCAGAGGAATACAATATGGGTACAGGGAGAGCCCCAGAGAGCCTGGCTTGATGACTTTCTCAATCCAAACAATTGTGTTTACAGAAAATCCTCATCTGAAACCAGGGTCCTGGCTGACCTTTGAACGTGACCTTCAGGGGATGGTGGACGTCATAATCATCCAGGATACAAGAAATGCACCATCCTCCACTGAGACACTGGCTCTGCACGGGCATTTGCTGAGGGCTATCAACTCCTGGACAAATGCAGGCATTTTTTCAGTTGACATCTAGAAGCTCTGGTTCTCTACCTTGCCGTCTACTGTCTTATCCAGTGGTCACCTCTATTCAAATCCAGAACTGGGTGGGGAAGAAATACTCTTGCTTATTTCTGTGCTCTCTGACACTGCTCACCAGCCCAAGGATGGGTGAGGAAAGAGGAAAACAGAGCCCGACATCCAGAAACTGGCCTGACCCTCCAAGCCAGACCTCTGCTTTTTCTTGTTAAATGGTAGATGCGCGGAACACCCATTTCCCATGAGATTGTTCTCTAGCTGGGTGAAGTGAGACAAAAGCCAGGCCGCTCAGTCGTTGTGTCTAAGTTAGGACAAAAGACAAAGTCCCTGTGCAAACCACAAAACTACCAAACATCCCCACCCTGGAAAAATGAGTGCTCAGCTGATGCTGATCCTGAGTCTTGTAACCTGTTTGTCTGTCTGTCTGTCTGTTTTTTACCAGTTCTAGCCTTCCTGCCTTATAGATGAGATTTATTAAGAATACCAATGGTATTGGCTCTACTTCCTACCAATATGCAACCCAGAATAAAAGTCCTGCTTCCTTAATCCCAACCAAAATCACCTAATAAGAACCTGAAACCTGAGATTCCTTTCATGACATACTCTTACTGTGATACCCATGGTTTCAATTCTTTTTATGCAACAACCCATATAAACCTGACCAGCTGGGCTCAGATGTGCTCCTGGTGGTCTTCGGCTGGAGGTCCCTGACCCTTGTTAGCATCCCACGTTCTGCTTTTTAAGGCCGTGGCATGTGTAACCTGTCCACTGTCTCGGCCAACACTGTTCAGCAGCCCTGTGTACCAGCCACCCTGCTTGCTGGAATACAGCCGGCCACAAATAGGAAAACCCCAGTGGGAGGGGACAGATCAAAATCAAATAAAATGAGATAACTCTAGGCAATAAGACAATGGAAAAAAAACAAGTTACTGGAGTAAGAGCCCAGGACTGTGCTGTTTTCAGTAGGATGGCAAAGAACGGTGTCTTGCTGGGGCCTAATAGAGGAGAAGAAATCAAACACGTGAGGGTCCAAGGAAGGAGATTCCAGGCAAAGAGAACAGCAAATACAAGTGCCCTGAAGCAGGAGCATGCTGGGGATGTTTCCAGAACAGGAGAAAGGCTGGGATGGCTAGGCCAGAGCAGAAATGGGGGCTGTCAGTCAGACCACTGTGGCTATGCCCGGCCTTGATGAGGAGCCAAGATGTGGCCAAAGGGCAGCCAAGGTCACCTGGGCAGGCTGTGCTGAAATTCCTGATAACACAATTGCGTGGTACATGTCAGTCCCCTTGATAAGGGGGAGTAAAGACCAGATCTGGTATCTCCTTATTCCTTTTTGAGGATTTATTTTATAGACAAAAGTTCATTGCATTTGCATGTTTCTGAAAACCATCAGTCAAATGAAAATCACCACTGCACACCCTACTTCCTGCCTGGTGGGTGTCAGCAGCTCTGCCCTGACAGTGCAGTGCACCGCTGGCCACTGTCCTGGCCTCCTCGGTGGAGAGCTGAGCTGGTGGAGGAGACAGAAGGGGTGCGGGGATGCCCTGAAGCTCACCAGGGAAAGCAAGCCAGAGCAGGGTGCCCTGGCCTCTCTCCCCCCACTCAGTGTTCCCCCTAAAAAGTCTGCAACCTCAATTTTATTTGTATTTTTCTCTTTCCCCGTGAGCAGTCTGCAAAGGTGCCAGCTATCAAGCACATCCATCCACATAGAGCTCTGCAGGGCCACACTGTGCCCCACTAAGGCCGGAAGGAATCCCGCACACTTCCGGTCCCGTGTCCTTGGCCAGGACAGCACCATCTCCTGTCGTCACAAGGGAGAGAAGGACGAGAGAGTGCAAGTAACTTCCATTACAGCTACTATGTAACTTTTTATTAGTCCTGTTGCATTAGTACTTATTGTTATTAATCTCTTACTATGCCTGATTGACAAGTTACTTTGTGAGAGGTGTGCATGTATAGGAAAAAAACAGCATGAAAAAAAGGCTCATGGCTTCAGGCAGCCCGAGGGGATCATGGGACATATGTGTGCAGATAAAGGAGGCCCACTGTGGATGATGTGAGCTTTATAACATTTGCTCCCCATTGAGCATGTGTCAGTCTGGCTGCTCAGATGTAAGCAGGACTGGACCCTGGCTTGTGTCAGGGGAAGGGTGTACCCGAAGGCTTTGGGATGGGCCCCAGAGGGATGAAGGCACTAGATCAATTTTTTTCTTGGAACAGGTAGCTATGGTTCTATGGATTAAATCTTGAACCCAGGAATTCTGCACTGAGCTACATTCCCCAGCCCTTTCTTATTTTTTTTAAACTTTGAGACAGAGTCTTGCTGAGCCACTAAGTTCCCCAGGCTGTGCTCAAACTTTCAATCTTCCTGTCTCAGCCTCCCAGAGTGCTGGGATTACAGGTGTGCACACTACACACAGCTGCTAGATCAGTGATTTTGATGGCCTCTGGGCCCTGCATTTCAATCATATATGGGAACCCCAGAATCTCAGAACCAAGATGCAGATAGAGCCCCGAGGGGAGAGAAGGGGGTGCTGAACAAATGTCCTGGGATTTCAGAGCAAGAAATGTGTCCAGTACCCTGCCCAGAACAGACAGCCAATCTCTGTGGAGCACCTTCCTCCTCACTGATCGACACTGCTGGTCCTCGACTTTGGTGTTACCTTTTTTGAAGTATAATTTATCTAATTTAAACGAACCTTTCTCCAGGGTGCAATTTGGAGGCGTTTTATGCATTCTCAGTGCTGTGCAGCCAGCACCTCTCTCCAGCTCCAAAACACCTTCGTCACCCCAAAAGGAAACCTTGTAAGCAGCCACACCCAGCAACCGCTAACCCGCTTTCCGCCTCGGCAGAGTCACCTGCTCTGGTTTCAGAACATTTCACATAAATGCAGGTGTTCTTACAGTTTCCAGTCGGGGCTCCTCCGAAGCTTTTCACGTGATCAAAGCTGCTCCACTGGCTGTGCTCCCGTGGGACCCCAAATGAAAGGGGCTGGGCTGTTATTTGTAAGAGGAAGGCAATGGGGAGAGAGCAGGTCGTGTCAGACTTGTTGCCTGGCACTGGTGAGCACCATGGTGAAAGTTTAATGCACATGTAAAGTAAATAACAATGTGTCCTTTTCGTGGACAAAGACTACTTAGAAGATGCCCCATTTCCTTCCAGGCATAGAGATGGCCCGGGTCTGACGCTCAGGACGTGATAGTCATCAAGTCACCTAGGCTGAGTGGAAGCCGTGAACAGGAAGTAATGGACCTGAATGTTGTTTTTTTTACTTGTTTAGAATTTGTATGTTTATAGGTGATGCATAAAAACATAAAAATCGTACATCCGTTTGGGGTATCACGTGACATTTTGATACATGTATATATCATGTAATGTTTACATAGGGAAAAACATATCTGTGTCCTCGAGCATTTTTCACTTCTTGGTAGTGAAAACATTCAAAATCCTTTCTCCTAGCTTTGGTTTACATTTTTTACATATTATTTTTGAAGATTTGAAACATGGTTGAATAATCTTTGATGGTTTAAAAACATGCAGATTTTGCTAATATCATATATCCACTTACAAATTCAGCATTTAGGCACAACTCCTACCTAAGTGGAGTCCTTGCGCTTGAATTTCATTTTGAGATTGCTTATATTAAATGATAAAATACATCCACTTAAGGAAAGCCAGAGGGACAGTAGCAGTGAGTATGTTTGAAGTCTTTATTACAATAGACTGACATTTTATAAGTTTAATTTTTTTATTTTGTTAGTACATGTTTGTAGTACATAATAATATGTGACTTGTGTACATGTACAACAGTTTTTAAAAATGGGACTATTTGTCTCCTAAACAGGAAAGTAAAAGGAAGCTTGATATTGAAATTCTAAAATGCATGCTTCTCCTAAAAAGTTCTTTCCTTGAAAATAAATTCTTCTCCCCCTGGATTTTCATTTCATGGGCACTTTACATGAAAGCAAATGAGCTGTATTCTACCTCACACGATTACTTTGCATATATATTTGAAAACCAAATCAATATACTCTACATGTAAAGGAGACTTTTTCCTTAGCTGCAACACCTTCATCATCCAAATTTTTGACAATGCACGAAAATCAGTCAAAACCTTTGTGCTAGAATCTCAGAAACGTGGCTGACGAAGTCAGGGTGCCAATGCCTTATTACATGGCTTTGTTGCCATGACTAACTAAATAATATCCACCAATGGCTAAGAGTAAATTGCTTGGAAAACAGGGAGGGAGCTGGAAGGAAAAAGGCAACAATTAAGCAGCTAAAGCAAAAGCAATTTGACCTCTTGCACCTGGGGGCCAGACTCCAAGGGATTTCTGAGGGGACTAGTTTCCGAATTTGGACAAGCCCTGCAGCAGTAGCAGAAATCTGCCAGTATCCAGAGTTTGTGAAGACATCATTTTCTGATTTTAAATCCTAACCTGAAAGGGAACCTAAAAAGATTCAAGATGGGTCACGTACTTGTACCTACTACCCTCAGTGAATGCACTATTTCTATGTACCAAATATGAACTAATAAAAAATAAATTTAAAATATAATAATAATAATGAAAATGGTGAAAGGGGATCTAGAGTCGGAGGGAGGGAGACGGGCGGGAAGGGGAATAAAAAGAATCAAGATTGTTAAGTACATGAATTTATCCCTGAGATGAATATGAACATCATGAACTAATAAGGATAAATAATGCTAAGCAGACTTCTTAAAAAAGATGTATTAATCTACTACAGTGCTTCCTAGCTTGAAGACCTTCACGTGTGCTTTCAGATGTGACACACTGGCCTGCAAACCTCCTTGCTCACAGCTGTCGTGGGAATCTCCATTCTTTACAGACTCAGCTCCCCACCTGAGGTCCCAGTGTCCAGGCAGGAGTCCCCAGCCTCCGTCCAACTAGGAACCAGACTGTTCCTCTCAACACTTTGCTTCATTCAGAAGAAATCCCACTTTCCAAATGCCTTGGTGATACCTCTGGTGAGCACGTACATCATGCTGAAGATAGAACAGGGCAGGAAATGGAAGATTTAGGACTTTGGAGCCAGACAGACATGGGTCAACCCCCTGCCCTGCATTTATAACAGAATGATCCAAAGCCCCTACTCTTCAAGACTGTGCATGGACAGAATCTGTACACAGACAGAACATAGCCCGAGAGCCGGACTGCCGAGGTCCAAATTCTAACCTTACCACTTCCTGGTGAGTTACTTCATCCCTCGTGTCTGTTTCCTCATTTGTAAGAAAAGGGAAAATAAGTGTAACCTGCATCATAAGGTTGCTATGAGGTTTAAATGGGTTAGCAGATGCAAATCACTTCACGTCTAGTGCATGGTAAGAACTACACAAGAGTCTGATTTCCGTAGTAGGAATAGTGACGTGATTGGCATTATTACCTAAAAGGTTTGTATGAGATTTAAATAAAATCATAAACTGTTTAATAAACAGCATGCAATACTTGAAGCTATGACACAGGCATGATTTCAGAAAATGTGCGGGCAGAGGCGATTGTGCTCATCCGTTGAACAGCACTGTTTTCCGTGAGTCACCGTGGGATACCGGGTACCACGCAGGTGCAGGTGATGGCGAGGGGCAGCCTGGACTGGCAGGGAAGCAGACCTGCCGTGGGTACAATGACACACGTTTGCAAAGGATGCAGCAGGACTCACTGGAGGAGCTGGTGACAGGGACGTGAGGGACACAGGGAAGGCTTCCTGAAGGAGGTGACGTGAGCTAATCCTTCAACAGTGCAGGCCAGAGGGCGATGAGGGAAGCATTCCCAGAGAAGCAGCCCGCACCATCCTCTCCCTCCTGGGAACTTGTCTGATCACATCCTTCTGTACACCCGATCCTGAGAGGCCAGGCTTCCAGCCGATGGCCACAGCCTCTCCAAACCTGACCCAGCATCGCCGTGCAGCCCGGCTCCAGCTGCGCTTCCCTCTTCCTGAGCAGGCAGGTGTTTTAACTCCCACCCCTTTGCTCACACAGGTGCTGCTTGCTGCCCGCCTCCGCTCCTCCACCGGGCACCGTGACACACAACCCTCGGGCCCCTCACGCGCCCCTGTCTTCTCCTGTGTGCCTGGGAAGAATTCAACCCGCCCCTGCCACACCTCGGGCACATCCCTTATCACATCATATGTTATTTTTTATTTATTTTCTTTTTCACCTCACCCAACTGGAATATAAATTCCACAAGATCGGTATTTTATTTGACTTTGCATACCAGAACCCCAAACACGTGGGCCACTCTTAATCAACATAAAGTCGTATTTCTCTGATGGGTGCTGAGAGAGAATGTTCATTGCGTCCTGGAGTTCATATTAAGTAGAACGTGTTTGAAGAAAGAGCCAATAAACTAGACCAGAGATTGTTCAAAGCAATTTTGTGCAGGGAAAAAGCAATTTTGTCCATCATTTCCTGACTTCTCTCCTTAGTCTCCCAAGCACTTGCTTTCAAAAGGTACGCCCAATAAGAAAAGAGTACCAGGAACAAAATACACCCCCAGAATCTCATGTCCTTGTGCAATCCCCAGTCCTGGCTTTAGGCATCTTTGCCATCCAATTCGAGACTGGGACCTAGATTTCTCTGCATAGTAAATGGGAAGTCATTCCTACCTGGTGGCTGAATGAAGTTCTTATCCTCTATGGCTTGCTGGGGAGGGACAGGAGGTCAACTCAAGCTCTGCTGTGGAGGTTAGCGGGGATTTGGCCCTCAGTTCCTCCCAGGGAATTGTGCTGCGCATTTCGGCACGCTGTCACTGGGAATGAACAACATCTATTTGGAGACAGCCTTATGGCAGCAAAAGTTAGAATGCATCCAGGCAGAGTCTCCACATTACACAGCTCCACGGACACCATTCATGTTATATGCCCTCCATGTGGCACTCCAGGGCACCTGGAGTATAATGAGACTGTCCCCTTTGAGTTGTGCAACACAGTGACGCTGGGCGGGTGGCCATAGGCCAGTGTTCCTAGCTTTTAGTAAGCACCAGCATTAACTGAGATTGTATTACAAGCACAGACTCCCGGGCTTCAGCTGCAGGGGTTCGGTCTGACAGAAGCCTGGAAATCTGCACCCTAAATGAGTGCCCACCCCTCAGCAGGTGATGTGAGGCTGGTCAACTTGAGGGCTGACTGAAACTGGCCTGGCAAGGACATCACTCCGGGAACCATAGGACACTTCCTAGTATTTTGTCCTTCTCCCCGCTCCAGTTTAACTCAAATTGTTATACATTTAAAATCAGCAAACTTTTTCTTCTAATTTGCTGTGTCACTATGGTTGTACCCCTGGGGTGGTCTACTACTGGGTCCACATACAAAAAATTGAGATGTGCAGTATCCACCCCACATCTCATAGGAAAAGACCCACATCTAATTTCTGCGAGTAGGTAACCCTCCATTTACCGCTTAAATTCCACCTTCTGCTGTCAAAAAATGACCCTTGGGCCGGGGATTTAGCTCAGTGGTTCCGCCGCCTGCATTGCAAGCGCAAGGTCCCGAGTTCGATCCCCGGTATTAATGTTCATCTCCCATAGACAGCATCAGGTGTCAGCCCTTCTCTGGCGAGAACATCATGAATATCCCGCCAGTTACAGAAATGAAACCCATTCGATTCCCACCCTTACTGCACTTCCAGCTGTTGTCATTCCTTCAGCTTGGGGCACCCGCTGTCTCTCCACTACCTATCTCAGTCTGCTCATCAGGAGTATTTCCCAGGCATCTTCTGGGACAACAACCTCTGTATTTCTCCTAACATGGTAAGATGAGCAAACCCTTGCCATTCCCAGCACTGCTGAGGACTGTTGCTTTCTGCTGCAGTCACCCGAACTGATATATTAAGTAATGGTCATGGACTGCTCTGGTTTCCCCTGCCTAGCATTTCTCCTAACAAGAGCCCAGCTTGCTTTTGGGTAACTCCATATCCCATTCAGTGTGGTTCCAATGAGATTTTGAGCCATGCCAGCTCACCAAGCAGAGGGACTGGCTGAGGGGCATGCTCTGGTCCGAGATGGATCTTGAACAAAGTGACACAAAGATAGAAATAGTTAGAGCCATGTCATCCTGGCGGCAGCGTCCAAACAGGGCTTGTTCATGGGAGCTCCAGAGCTTCCTGGTTTCCTCTTCCCAAAGCCTCCTTTAATTCTGTAAAGCTATGCAGTTTCCTTTCAATATATCCCATTCTTCCTAAGTTAATCCAGCTGCAACCAAAGAAATGCAACTGATATGGTGATTAACAAATACATTAGTTTATGAATGCTTCTTCAAAAGCCAAACTACCAAAGTACAAACTACCAAACA